CCTTTTCTTGAGCCAGTTGCTCTGCGTCTGAGAGAAACATGAACGGTTTGTGTCACTTGGGCAATGTGCTTGTAGCCTCTTCCTCCTAATTATCCCTGAGCTGATGATCTAAGACTGCTTTGTGGATATGAGGACAGAATTTTGCCTGCAGGATGCACGATTACCAACTGTGCCTCTTCTGTAAATCAGTTGTAAGTGTATTTGGAATAACTGCCAGGCCAGCTTCTGAGCTTACCAGAGGACAGAGCTCCAGCAGACACAGTCCCACATGGCACAGAGCTGTTGCAGTTTTAAAATCAGTCTGATTTTTTTCTTTAACAGGGGAGCCCAGTGTAACTCCGTCAAGCCTGGAGTGACACACTGAATCTGCATCTGCCTCATGTGAGTTAAAATCCTGGCAGCAGCATTTTGCATTAGCTGGAGCCTCTGTAGAGAGCTTTTTTTTTTCTTTTTCTTTTTTTTTTTTCCTTTTCAGGAAGGCTGTAAACTTGTAACTGTATGTGTCTTGGCAGCAAAGGTAAACACAACCACACAAATGCATGAGAGTTGCATACCTTACTGCACAACCCCTGCTCATTCCAGACCAGCTTCCCTCCTAGCATGTCCTGTGTCAGTCAGGGACACCCGAACTCATCACAGACCCGAAGGCTTGCAGTGTTCACTCCGGGGTACTGCATTTTACCTTTTAATGGTGTATTGTTAAGCCAAATGATGTTGTTAAGGGGAAGCTGAAATGCTGTCAACTGGCTTCTGTTTTTTTTAAAACATTGAGTTGTTTTCTTACCACCCTGGTGGCATAATCCATGAGCACTGGGTGCTGATTGCCCTGTGCTGCTGAAGATTTGCCTGTGTTGGAACAGGACTATTAAAATAACAATTCCTCTGGAGCTGGGGACTTGGCTTGGTGGCAGARACGTGGCCATCAAGCAGTAAGAAAAAGAAATCTGAGTAAGTTGTAGCACRTGCTTTGGTTTTACTGTCATCCCMTGTGTGTTGGGCAAGGATGGTGTGMAAATGTGTTTGTGGCTCTGCCTCCTCCCCTGTCACAGAGTTGGGGGCACTTGAAGACCGGGCCCTTCTCAGCTGGGTGAAAGGGCTGAGCATGGAGATGCCACATGGCAAAGAGCTGAATTCATGGCATTGCAGTGACACACAAATTATATCCATCAGAGATACCAGRATTCAGCACCCAGGTCTGAGGGAGGGGATATTCCAGCAGTTTAAAACCATTTTTTCATCATGCAGCTGCAGAAAAAAATATTGCTCTGTCCTCTCTACTGTTTCCTCACAGCTGTCTGAAGTAAACAAGACATGAGAGAGAACAACGAGCCCTGAATACAATATTGAAATACATTTTTTCATCTCACAACACCTGTAACTGGGGTATCTTCCCCAAATGTGCTGCCACAGTTGCAGCAATGTCAGCCTGTCCGTACTTGATCTGAGAAGGTGGATGGTTTGTTTGCCCAGAGGAAGCTCCTGTTACTCAAACAAGCTTATGAGAAATGTCAGGGGGTTGTGGCTCGTTCCAGYTGATGCAGCCAGTGCTGTGGTGTAGGGTGCTGTCAAGGTGGGCTCAGGGGGCTCTCAGTCTCTTCCCAGCTGTGTRTCTAATTAAAGGAAAGGTTAACTGGAACAGTAGGTATGCTGGTAACTAGAGAATGCTTATTGTCTCTTTCACAAGTGCAGTTCCCTGTGTATCTGTTTAGTTCATATGTGAAGAAGGCTCTCATTTTCCAGATATTGTGGAGTAATAGAAAAATAGAGATGGGATCTGAGGCAAGAATGAGCTAATAGTTTAGTTTTATTCAAAGAGACATCAAGGAAGCAAAATCTAGGGCTTGAGAATTAAGGAGAACAGCTGTCCCCCCAAAAGAAACATTTCGATTAATCCTGATCAGTCTAATGTACTGCCTCAGCAGAGATTTGGGATGATGAAGGCTGAGGTTGATACCTCTTCTTCAGTCTTTTTCCTAATGGTGCTTCAGCTTGTTTCCTTGGACAGTTGAAAGGAGATCTGTGGTGATTTTTCTAAGACAGAGATGCAAATACACAAAGAAATAAATTGAGTGAGGGCATTTTGTGAGCAGCTGACCTCGTGTCCCACACAGCTGGTGGAGTGTTAACAAGATACAGAGATTGCTCATCAGGAAGCCCTGCAGTTTCTGTGGAAAGGCTCTGCTGGAGCTGTTGATGAACCACTTCTGCTTGTCCAGAGATGCCAGTGTGCTCCATGTGTGTGGGCAGCATCACCATGGTTGGTGAGTTTAGAAAGAGAAGGGTTTCCTTGAATAAATGTTTCGTTTGAAAGTGGTGTTTTATGGATTAAGCTGATAACATGGTCAAATTCCCAGAAGGCGAAGAAGTAGTGCAGCAGCTTCATGGGCAGAGCGGGGCATTGGAGTCTGCTTCACATAACGGGGAATTTTGCAGGGCTTTCACATTCTGAGAATACGTGCAGGTGTATTTATAAGCGTTTTCCCTGGGAAGTGCCTTTGCTGTCCTGAATGAGAGGAATTCCTTGTTCCAGATGATGCTSTGGTGTCACTCTCACAATTTTGTTCATCCACCTAACTGCCTATTGCTCCCTCCAACTCCAGCTCACTCCCCTGARTTGCCTTGTCAGTCACTGCTTTCTTCATTAGCTGTATTTTTTGATTGCTTATTCCTATCTATAGCTCAATCAATCCTTTCATTTCCTAAAGGACAGAAAAGACTTCGTGCATTGAATGTTGTATCATGTTGTTGATGTTTGCCATTGGTATAATATTGCTTGATGATTTGATAACTTTATTGATTTTAGTTATCTGTTTAAGACTATTACAAGTTTGCTTATTACATTTTTATGCTGTTAGTTTAATGGGGAAAATTAACACTTGGGATTCTGGTACTTTTTAAATTATTAAGAGATACAGGAGCCCTCTGTCATGGGTACTRTGATCTCAGTCTTTTGACAGTTATTTCATCTTAAAGTCCTTGCCTTTTTGATTTTTTTTTTTTTTAGTACTTTATATATTTGCTTTTCCTCTCAAATTGAACTTCTGTATCCCACAGTGTATGTATGTGCTGGTGATTACCTGGGCAGTATAGACAATGTATATGATTATATATTCTGAGGCCCACGGATGTGTTAGATCTTTCTCAGGAAAAGCAGTTTTCTTCTAATGAGTTGTCYGTGTAACTTGCACATTTTCAGCTAAATTTGAAATATTCAAGTGTTTGAGGCAGTTGGRCCCATTGAACCCATGGTAACCCTCACTGCAGTGAAGGGTTGTATTTATTGTATTTATTTGTCTTAGGACTAGTTTAAGACAGCAACATTAGGGTATCCCATTCTTCAGGGGAAGGGAGTACCCAAGATTTGTAGGTGCTCATGGTTGTAAGGAGTGACAAAAGTCAGAGGATCCAYAAAAGCTTATGAACAAGAAGTTTTATTAGTAAATTACACACTTGGTGTGAAAATTGGTATGTTAGTCCCTGACCTCCTAGTATAAGCACACAGCAGAAGGTTTTGGATAAATGATGGGGTAAAAGGGAAGAGAGAAAGAGAGAGATGAATGAAAGAGAGGGAGAGAGAGAGAAAGGAAGAAAGCAAGAAAAAGAGATCACCAGTCCTGGCAKCAGCGCTGATCCAGCTGATGGGGTGTCCTGGGGCACATGCATGCCTGGKCTTTGTGGGGATGCCTTTTTATAAAGCACTTGTCCCCACCTTGAAAACAGGGTTCTTGCTTTGTGTGGAAATCAGTTACCATGTCCGCTCCATTCTTACAGACCTTCCTGAAATTGGGTCTTGGGTGGTCTTGATCTCCCCCCTACAGTCCATGCCTSCTTCTCAACCTCAWTCCTTCACTTGAGCTGTGCTGGGCTTATCTCCAGGACCCAGAACAAGGACATTTGTCCCAGAAAAGTGCAGCCCTCACCTCCACATAGCCCCCTTCTCCAGCCACATCCTGTTCTTTCTCACAACATGTTATTACCAACAACCCTTGGTTGTTATTACCAACAATCCTCGGTCAGTCTCGCAACTGCCCAGCTGTCTCAGTGTTTGACACATGCACATTAGYCCCTTATCTTCTGGGYTTCTGCAGACATGCAGCGAGTGTAAACACACTGCCAGAGARACACTGTGATTTCCATCTGTCCTGATTGCCTTTTAGATGTTAATTTAATGATCTGATTAAACAGTAACATTTTCAGTACATGGGAAGGTCATTTGCAGGAAGAAGAGAGGCTGCATGGTAGGAATGACTTAGTTGAAAGAGTTCCATTTCTTTTACATGGAATGAAGGGAAGGTGTGTGTCCCAGATGAGCAGCTCCTCTGACAYGTGAGAGCAGTGAGCTTGCTTTAAAAAGCAGTATTTTGATACACAAGGGTAATAATGAACAGATTTTTACAGTACCATATGGTGTTATTAACAAACAAATCATATGTTAACTTGACAGCTCTACCTTCAAGCTAACTTAGTCTGCAGCGAACATTAATTCCCCTGAGATGAAATCTGGAGCAATACTAAGCTTTGGGATTGTGTCCAGAGCACTAATAGTAGCACAGAAGTGATGAAATTYAGGCTCTCTAACCTCCAATACGTGTACTTTCACAATTTATTGGTTTCTTTATCGGCCTTGCAAAAACACAGCAAACCAAAGCCCAGTTGGAGCAGGTGGAACGGGAGTGTTYATGCATCTGCTTAACAGGACTGCAGGGAGAGGAGCTGCTTTTTGAAATACATTTTCCTGATGCAGAGAACTGTGATAAAGTGATAGATATTTCATCTGGTGCACTCTGCTGCTGAAATTCAAACAGCAGCTCTGCTTTGCAGCAGCCCTGGGGAAGGAGCTAATTCCACCATGCTCTGGGCTGGGGGACCCGAGGTAGCAAAAGAGGGAATGGTGTATGGAGGAGGGAGGAGGGAGAATGGGTACATTACTTTTAATTGCCTTCTTGTTTAACCCCCTAGCTGTTTTCAAATTTTCTAACTGAAATCTCATCTTGGTACAGTGTATAAATCCCCTGAATACGAATCTCTTGGATTTGACCTGACCGTAGAAAGATTAGTTTCCATTGGATACCCTCATGAGCTGCTCAATTTTGTGTATGATCCTGCATTCCCTACCAGGTAAATGACTAACAGATACTGATGCTGCCTRCTTGAGGCCTTGAATACTTGTTCTGTTGAGTTCACAGGCGACATGTGAGGCCAGGTTTTCAGWTGTGGATGTGAAGCCTGAGGCTGACCACAGATCGTGGGGAAGGGAGAAGATTGTATGTGATCAGTATGTGGAGGGCCTTTGTACATGTGAATCCTTGCCAGCAAAGAGGGAGTGTGCAAGAAAAAAACCCTACTGAAAACATGGTCTAAAAATAGTCTTTCAAAGCAAAGACAGCAGAGATACAATTGGATTGGGAGCRAAATCAGATTCAGGCAGAGAAGGAGCCATTACTGTCCAAGAGGCTGCTGGGATGTCTCAGAACATTTTTTTAAATGATTTTAATTAGTAGTGTCCTGGTGTGTAAGACATCCTGAAAATTAAGCTGACAGTAAAAAAGAATAAAAGTGGGACCAATCYGGTTCACTTGTCTAGATGAATCAAATGTCAAAAGCATTTGATTTAGTAACTGCTTGATTTCTTAACTTTGAACTAAGGTAATGGTGCAAAGTYACTAAATTCCTACATTTTGTCTTTTGATGGGAGAGGTAAAAAGGGCATTGTTTATTTTAAACAGAGCTTTTATTCTAACTCTGCACCTTTAAATTCTTTCCACTTGTGCCTCTGCTGGATTTGGCTTCTTTGACTCCTTTGGGGTTTCCTTACAAAATACTGGACTAGAGGGTCTGTTGGTTTGTTCCAGTTTCAGTCTGGCAGCTTTGTTCCTTCCCTCCTCTCAGCGTGTTTTACACCAGGAGTTGCTGCTGGCTGTGCCCTTGCCTGTAACAAGGCATAGCCCTTCACAAGCCTGTGATGAGGACTCTATTAAATCCACTGTCTTCATCCCAGGGAGGGGACAGAAGGGATATCTCTGTGGGAAGGCTGCATTCTCCACATGCAAGCTGCTAGACAAGTGAGAGTTTTGCCAGAGTAAGAACTGGGAATGTCCAAAGCATTTTGTGCCATGGTTACACACCCCATCTGGCTTTGTCTGTGACAGAGCGATGAAAAAGTGGAGAGAAATTCCTGTATCACACCTCAGAGTTCCCTGCAGCCCAACAGGGGTGTCAGGGACCCACAAACACAGGTGTCAGGTCTGTGATCCCGTGGAAGAGGCTCACAGCTCCCCTGGTACGTGCACAGCTGAACCTCTCCGGGCAGGGGACTCTCCCACCTGCTGATCCTGGGCTCTGGTTGCTCACCTGCTGCCAGCTAAAAGGGACAGTAGGGACCCCATATGAATATGACAGCATCTCTGTTCTGATGTCCCACACCAAGTGAGCAAAGTTGTTCTAGAGCTGTTCTAGCTGCTGGTCACCCCTTAATGCACTTGCCTCTTCATATCCTAAATTGCTTTCTTAACAGAGGCCTGGTGTTTGACACCCACTATGGAAACCTGCTGAAAGTTGATGCCTATGGGAACCTCCTAGTGTGTGCACATGGCTTTAATTTCCTCAGAGGGTGAGTGCAGACTCTTGGCTGTTCTTTTTAATTTATACACTATAAAGTCAATTATCATCGGCGTGCTCATTGTGTAAGGAATTGCAGGGACTTCACTCACAGCATATGATGTGTACCTACAGCTCAGGACTAACTGGGATGCATTGAGGGGCTCAGGTACAGCAGCAGCCCAGATGTTTACAAGGGAAAGGACTTTGCCACCACAGGCACATCTGTAATGTGCTGGGAATAGAAGAACGTGTGCTGTGGGGAGGAGCTGATGGGATCATCCAGGGGCTGTTCTTCACCTGTCCTGGCTCAGTTTAACGTCAGAGTTTGTCAGTGAAAATGAAGCCATTGCATGAGGATTTGTGCCCATGAGGCTGTCAGCTCCACAGCCATTGCTAAAAAAGTTTAAAGGCCTGAGCTGGCTTGGGGTAAGAGCGAGCTTGCTCTACCCCATTGTGTTTCTGACCTTTGAGAGTGTCAGAATTGAGCACGGCATGCCATTTCCTGCAGCCTTCCCTGGCTGCTTGTGTTCCTCTTGTCCCAGAGAAGGTGCTTCAGGAGGCAGAGAGGACTGCAGTGCCATGTGCCTGTTGTGTCCCAGCAAATCTGCCCTCCCACATACCTGCTGCAAGGGCATATGGATTGAACGAAAGGTGAGCTCAGGGCCTCCAGGGTGACAAACTTTGTCATTGCAGGCCTCCCAAGTCCTTACATCAGGACTCCAAAATTTAGAAAAAGCTCTTGTATGCGCACTYAGGTTCCTCTTTGAGCCTGAAGTGATCTTTAGAAGTTCCAGAAATTAAGGAAACCGGAATGATGAGATGAGTTCAGGCATTGGCACCCTGCTGAGGAATTGCAGAGRGCCCCGAGCGAGCCTCCTGCAGCAGAGCCCGGCACACCTCTGGCTGAGAGCTGCTGGGGGAGTGGAGAGCAACACATGGAAAGTGGGGGAGAGTTTAAAACAAGCAAACAATGAAAGTGTAGATGGTTTAAAGCACCCTCCTAGCAGGCAGCATGGGGCTTAAGGTCGAGCTGTGGACTCWGGACCACTCTGTGTCCCTGTGTGGGCTCTGCTCAGTTCGCTGACTCAGCAGTGAGGGCTTTGTCGTGGCTCTGCCGGAGTCAGCGCAGGTGTTGAACACCCCTGGATGCACTTTTGCTCTTGTGCCAGCAGTGCATGTGGGAAAGCTGGATGTTGATTAAAGCACAGCAGACTTTGGTTAGCAGACTCTGCTACAACTCTGTTTTGCAGGTCAGCACATTTTATCTTCCTYATGTTTTGTGGTTTCATTCTTCTCCACTTTATTTATTCTTAGGCCTGAAACACGGGAGCAATATCCAAATAAATTTATCCAGAGGGATGACACAGATAGATTTTACATTTTGAACACGTTATTCAATCTACCAGGTGAGTCTAATGTGAGCCAGTGAGGGCCTCTTTCTGTGCCTTTTAAGCCAGTAAAGCTTTGCTGATGTTGTACTCTGCTTTTCTGTTTGGGTTTTTTTTACATGAACTTTCTTCTTTTGGGCACAAGGCCTAAAGTTAGCTGTCTGTATGATGTTATCCTTGTGTTCCAATCCCACTCTGTTTCCTTGCAGAGACCTACCTGTTGGCTTGCCTGGTGGATTTCTTCACTAACTGTGACCGGTACACGAGGTTCGTATTCCCTCCACTTTGAGGTGATGAAGGAACAGTAAGATTGTTATTATATAAAAGTAATACAGCACAGATGGAGCTGTTCCTAATATCAGTGGAGGCCCCTCAAGTGGTTTTGGTAGGGGAAAGCTCAGGCCCCTTATGATTTAGCAGTGATAAGCTGATCTATGTGTACAGCAGAGGCTGGTTCTGAGGGTTTCCTTCACAGGGTACATCGGTACCACCATGCTGACAGACACTGGTGTTTGGGGCAGCTTCTAGGACTGCAMATTTTGTACAGGGTGATCACAGGCACTGTTCAGTTAATTTTGAACCTGTGTCCTTTGGAGCTGTGTCTGAACTGGTACCTGAAAGGCTGAATTTCCTCAGCCAGTTACTTACCACAGATGCTTCATGTCATAATAAAGGACATTGCACACTTAGAGGTGAAGTGCTCAGGTGCACTGTGGTGTAACAGGCTGTTTGTGCAGCATGAGTATTTACCTTGCTGTCCTAARCATATAAGCATAAAAACAAGCTGTGGTTTTAACAGGCAAATGAGAATGCTGCTGTGCTGCTCATCACCTCATGTGATGGGTCGTCTTTRCATGTATGTGAGCAGAAGGCAAAGATTTAATGGGATTTTACCTGGGAGCAGAGGAAGTGTTTATGCTGGCAATCCATCAGGTGAAGTACCTTTTCTCAGGAGAGGCATGATGATTGCTGTCATAATAAATACAGGTCTGTGTAATCATTCTTGATTTCTTCTGATGCAAGCTGTCATGGGTGTCTCAAAGATACCTCCAGAGTATCTTGTAATTTCTAATGTTAACTCCAAGTGTTCAGCATAGAAGCATTTTCTCCTCTCAGCAGCATTACATTTAGTTGATTTCCATGACACTCCCCTTCTTTAGTGCTGGAAAGAGGGAGAAAGAACAGCACTCTGCTTATTCCCTCAGTACCATTTATCTTCTGTAAAAGGCTGCAAACTGCATTTTTTCAGTTTTCTGCAGTCTTTTTACCTTCTTGTAATACTGTGGGTGACAAGAGTTACAGTCTTACASAGAGGCACAGACACTCCTGGGTAACACACAGCTCCTGATAAACTGCGGTTGTAGCCTTCTTTCAAGTGTGAGCTGCAGTAAATTAGTAGATAAGAAACCATGATGTTGACATGAAAACACAAGCTCCAAACAGCATTTTGAACAGTCTTACCTGCTGTGATTGGCTGTTAAAGTCTCTCTTCTGTCTCCTCGCAGCTGTGAAACAGGGTTTAAGGATGGAGACCTCTTCATGTCCTTCAGGAGTATGTTCCAGGATGTCAGAGATGCTGTTGACTGGGTTCATTACAAGGTGACTGCAAGAWGTCCTTGGGACGTGTGTGGTTGTAACTGGGTTAGAGGGTCTGGTTTGTAACTCCTGAGTTCCRATGTTCTCTGCCTCCTCTGGGCAAGGGTCCTGCTTTGCCGCCTAGTGAGCAAATAATAGATTGCGGTTGTATGCGAGTAAGTGAAGAGCTCAGCTACCCTCCTGTTATGGGAACATATCTGGCTTGGCTTCCTATTCCTTTTTATTGTGCCCAGATTCCATTTTTGTACTGTARTTYGTGAGTTTTAAAGCATGATGCCATGAGGGTATTTGCACTTTGAATYCACAACTTATTAACATTGYCCTAATTTGTTTATAAAGCTGCATTCTACTGCAAATTGTTTACATTTGCACTATCCTATGTTGTCTATAAAGTACCTGGACTAAAGAGAGAAATACTTCAGCTGTTCTCTAATTAGAGGGGAGAATAATTTTATCCTCTGCACACACTTGTGCACAAATTTAGAATATAATTTTGTGAGCATTAACCTATAGTAAAGACCTGATTTCTTGTTCTTCCTCATTCAAGCGGTCTGTTGGGTGGGATGGAGAACCATCACAGGAGAACTCTGCTCACAGTTGTGTACTTGTGGTGGTCCTTTTAACCATGCAGAAGTCAGGAATCTATTTTTCTTTCCTTATGCAGTGTTGTGTGATACWTGTTGGAGTTTGCCTTTGACTAAAGCATTATGGTCAGTGTTGGAGACAGGTCATTAACTGTCTGTTTGGTATGGCAAATCTATTTTTTGTTTGTTTCTATTGTATTCCCTTTTGAAAGGGTTAAAATGCTGTTGAAGTGGATTATTTACCATGGTGAGGGAATCGATGGATCACAGAGTTTGTGATGGTCCCTGCTACTCAAAGCCTCTCATCTCTAGAGTCACTGGTTCAGATTCGCCCTGGTTTGTACTTTCACAGCATTTTAAAGTGTGAAAGTTGGCATTACTTTGTTGTCTCTCACATCATAAGTTTCCATGACCTCACTGAGTTCTGTTGTTTCTATTTCAGGGATCGCTTAAGGAAAAGACCCTTGAGAATCTGGAGAAGTACGTGGTGAAAGATGTAAGTGTGAAGTTATTTTACTTGTGCTGCGTAACATTTGGTACTGACTAAGCAGGCAAGAAACAAACATGCTGATTTGTTTTACTAAATCACAAAACACATAAGGCTGTGATTTCTATTGTAATAACCAAAGACAAAGCGGAAAGTTTGGATGCAGCCTTTATTCTGAGCCAGTGATCCACATGATTTCGTATTGATGTGCACATTTTTTTACGTAAAATTTAAAAGCCAGAGGAAATSTGATTCTGGAACACAGGTGAACACACTGGCAAAGCTTGTTTTGTTCCTTTCAGTGGCGAAAGCAACTGTTCCCTCCCTATGTTTTTCTGCCCAAGAAACCTCTCTTTAAAAAGCAACAGTTGAGCATTTTTTTAGCCACAAGTATTCTTTCACCACCCAACAAAAAGGTTACACTTAACCATGAGGGACTGASGAAAAGATCCTGAAAGACTCACTAGTGTCTAGTCTTTTGATAACCCCAAAATATGTGTTCATCACGTCTAATTGAGCAAGCTCCAGTGGGTCCTTTACTCCTGCCACCTCTGCAGTGTGCAAGGCCCCTCTGGACCACTTATGGAATAAGTATTCCTTAGTTTAGATGAGCTCTGTGGTAAAGTATCTCTTTGAAGCAGTTAACCTTGTTTCTAGTTACATGCCTGCAGGATTCTTAGGAAACTGTTCATTGAGGTAATCAGCTATTTTGGCAATGGACTGAGATTTCAGATTCAATAAAAATAGCCCCAGGAATAAATTCTCCCTAATTTGAGGTTGGAATTATAATGCGTTCCAACTTGTGGCTCGTGAGCTCAGATTTCACCTGCCTCTGGGCCCATTTCGGGAACGGACTTGGAGCTGGAGCAGATCGGTGGGAGCAGCACAGGGTGCCTGGCACTGTGGTTGGCAAAGGCACCGCAGCCCTGCTGAGCCCTTCCCCCTCGCCTTCCTCCCCTGGGCTGTGCTCTGGAGGGGTTACCTGGATGGACCAGCAGCTTTCCTGGCTCTGGCTGGTGCACAACACGTGAGTTTGCTTGCTCAATGGTTTGCCTTTTTTTTTGTCTGGTGGGATCATAGTTGAGTGTTTTTCCCATGATGAATGTCTGTAACGTTTTTGTGTGACTTGGATGTTCCCCTTGGTTTCCAGGGGAAGCTGCCGCTGCTGCTCAGCCGCATGAATGAAGTGGGGAAGGTGTTTCTCGTCACAAACAGCGACTATAAATACACAGAYGTAAGTGCTGCTTCAGTTGTTGGGTTGGTATATCGTGGAATAAACATAAGCCAGCCAGTCATTTGGATGGGTTTTGATGGGACATCTTCTGGTAGAGAATTGTGTGTTTTYTAATCTAGGTCTAGAATGGGTTAGTGGTGGGTGCAGATTAAGCCTTGAGTCATCTTTTGTAGTCCTGGTTCTGATGCTGACCTAGTGTAGGCCCATCTTAAATCCTGCTGTGCCTCACTCAGTTCCTCAGCACTTAAAAGGCTGAAAGGGAAAGTGATACTCARTTTTGGATTTTAGCATCCTTTAAAATGCAGACCTGCCCTTTCAAGTGAGATATTCTGAGTACGGACAGGTCCCAAACCAAGGTCCTGGAGAGGTCTGAGACCCAGAAAGGGCTGTCTGCTGAGTGAGCAATAAACCCGCTTACTTCCAGCTCCAGGTGAATTGTCAGGATGTTGCARAACTGCTAATCTAAAGATTTATATGCCATTTTAAAACGTTGCAAGATATACCTGAARCATTGTGTGGTTTTCTGAGGCAACTGTGTAACTACATTATAAAAACTACTGTTTCGATTCCTGTCACTGTCCTGTGCCATTCATTTTGTCTCCAAATCTTATGCTGACTTCAGTGTGAATTCTGAAACTAAAGTTCTGTAATCTGAAAATATAAAATCAGAAAAGTATTCTTCTATAAACTACACAAAWGCATGTTTAAAAGCACATATTTGAATACTTTCTTTCTCTCTTTTAGAAAATTATGACTTACTTGTTTGACTTTCCACACGGACCAAAGGTATGTGAATTCTAGTCTGCAGTTGCRATAGACGCTGATGTGCCTAATTATCTGTGTAGCTGGAAAGCATTTTAATCCTGCCTCATCGGCTGCATGGGATTAGTTGCTTTAATCTGGTTAAAATACACTTGCTGTTTTGTGTCCTGTTTGAATGGGATCAAAGCAAATACAATATAACAAAGAGAAAAGGGGCATCATCTGGTCTCAAATGATAATCTGCGTTAATGATAACATTATTTCAGTGATAAAACATTTCAACTGTGGCATTTAGCAGCCAGGTTTCATAGAAATAATGCACAATGGTTTGAATGTTTAAAAAAAAACATGATGGAAGGGAAATAGCTTTATAAAASAGCAGAAACATTTATGGCTGATCATCCCTTAAATTATTGTAACTCCAAGAGTTCTAGTCATGCTTTTTTTTTTGGTTTTCTGAGGTCAAAACTCAGCCCTGCAACTTTTGGAGAGAGGCTTATGATACGAATTTATACTGCTCTTTCAGTTTCCCAGTGAGAGGCTATCTTCATGCTCAAAAGATGTGTTCTCGCATGTGCTTTAAATGCAGAAGGCAGCCAAGGGAGAAATTTTGAGAGCATAGAAACTTGCCACAACTGWTGGCTAAAGGAGCCCCTTGCTGTGGTCTTGATCTCACAAAGTGTGGAAACATGAAGAAGAAAGGGCTTGTTATCCTTTGGGCAGGGCTGTGATTCAAAACCATGCTCTGTGGAATAGAGTCCAGGCATTTTCCCACTCTTGGCAAAAGTTCCAGCCTGTCCTTGTAAGCTGAAGCTGTGGGCGTTGCATGTGTCTGGATCTGCACAGGATGTCCTTCAGAAACAGTGGCAGGGTGTCATTTGCAGCATCTTTTTACATGGCAGCTGTGTCCTGACAGGGATGTTTGGTGCTGTTCTCCTGTCTCACACCGCATCCTCAGCCCCCAGGAGCTAGGCTGGGGTGGGATGGCCTTGTTGYAAAAGGAGAGTGCTTTAGGAGATGGTGCTGGCAAATGCAGCATTGTCCCACAGGAGGCATGAGGTAATGGATTTTGATGGATCAGCAATGTCAAGAGGTTATGGCTGTGGACAGTGACACTCCAGTTAAACTYCCTGTGGCTTTTTGTGGTATGTCTGATTCTGGGGTGTGTTTTTTGCCTCTGTAGCCTGGGAGTGCCCATCGGCCATGGCAGTCCTACTTTGATCTGATCCTGGTGGATGCACGAAAACCCCTCTTCTTTGGGGAAGGCACTGTATTGCGGCAGGTGGACACGGTGAGTACTTCCATGGCTGGAAAGACTCCTGCACCTCCTCTATGGCATCTCTCAGTGACAATGGGCAATGCAGTGTTTGGACAGGACCTACCCTAGAGGTTGTGGGCTGGAGTCTCCTCTTAGTGATTCTAGAGCAACTGCATCACCTCGAGGCTTTGCTGGCTTCCCTAACATACTGGAGGTGGCAGGAAAGCCACCTCTGGGCTGCTTGGGAGTGAGACAGACAAAGAGTGAAGTATCAATAGTATCAATGTAGAAAAGATCAGACCATCAGTTGTTCAGCACTAACACAACATCTCCTTCCACAGGTGACCGGGAAGCTGAAGATTGGTACCTACACTGGCCCACTGCAGCATGGCATTGTGTACTCAGGAGGTGAGGCAGGAGCCCTTCTTGGTCTGTGGAGTGGCTCTGACGTGGTCTTCAGCCACTCCAGCTATGAGAGGACTTGTGYCAGGCAAGGCTGTGCTTCCCAAAGCACATTGTTTTGTGCCCTCTGCAGCTCTCCATGATCAGAGCTGCACAATGCAGAGAAGAGATGGACCCATTCTTCCTCAAACATCCTTTTCTTCCTTGCCAGGGAGGGGCTGGGAAATRCCTACTGGGCTTGTGGTGGAGGGGTGGCTGCAGCTGGCCCAGTGCAGTGTCCCCGGCTGTACTTTAAAAGTACTGCCTCTAACATGACCACACTTGGAAGGTTCTGCCAAGCCTGAGAAGGGTAGTGGGTGGACACGGAGCTGTCCGTGACACCCAGGGCTCCATTACTCTCACATGGGGTGGGAGGCAGCATGGCCCCTTTGTTACTGTCATTCATGTTGGGGTGTACATGAGCAAAGCTGCTCCTTTGAAGTCCCAGGCAGGTGAGCAGTGTCCAAGGCTGCCATGATCAAGCAGTGGAGGTTTCTGGGAGGGTTCCCTGTTCTGAGCCATGCCATTCTCCTCTCAGGCTCTTCGGACACAGTCTGTGAYCTGCTGGGGGCCAAAGGGAAGGATATCTTGTACATCGGAGACCATATCTTTGGAGACATCCTCAAATCCAAGAAGCGCCAGGGCTGGAGGACCTTCCTGGTGATCCCCGAGCTGGCGCAGGAGCTGCACGTCTGGACAGACAAAAGCGGTCAGGAGCTGGGCAAGCCCCAGGCCAGGCTTTGCTCTTGCTTGTCTGATGCTGCACCCCTGAGATCGCCAGGGCTTAGGGGTGCAGGGGAGAGATCACCCTGGCTTGCCACTTCTCCTTTTGGCCCTTYTTCTTGGGTCTGGATGCTGGTGGCAGGAGTTGGGGTGCCTCTGTATGGGCTGGCCTTGGGGTCCCAGGCCTTTCCCATGCTCTTTCACAGGCTTTTGTGTGTAATCAGCCAACTGCTGCCTTGGCCAGGGCAAAAGCTGCAGCTGGGTGGGGTTGAGTTGTTCCTCATCCATAACGCCAGAACCTCYTTCCCCACTGCAAATATGGAGCTGTGGCTCCCATGTTAAAAAMTATCTGACAAGGCCTGGGTTATTCTCCCTGTAATGCCTGAGCCATGACTGCTCTCCCATCTGCAGGGAATCCCTATTCACCAGCTGCTTCCTCCTCGCTCCTCCCACTCCCTCTGCTGCTYTGCCGCCAAAGTGCTGTGTGTTTCCCATCCTCCAGCGCTCCTGCTTTTCTCCCAGGTTTGCCCTTTGGTGTGTAAATAGGGCTGGGGGTTATGCAAGTTGCCCCATGGCTGGTTGGAAGGCTTTGGTGAGAGCTGCAAAGGTTCAGCCTCRAAAACAAAAGGCCCAAGCAGAAACCAGGCCCAGAGTTCTGCCCATGGCACAGAGTGTGATTGACCCCTCTTCCTGCCCAGAGGCCATGATCCCTCCAGAGTCCCTGCTCCAGTGTCCCTCTGCTGCCATGTGAGGGGACTGGACAGGGTGGTGGGCTCACTTTCAGCCCTTTTCATTTCAACAGTTTAAACTTACCTTTTCCCCTTTCCTTTTCTGGATTTTCCAGCCCTTTTTGAAGAGTTGCAGAGTCTGGACATTTTCTTGGCCGAGCTGTACAAGTGAGTGTTCAAACAGTGACAACTTTCCTGCTGCCTCTCCCAGCTAACGAGCGGCAATGACAAAACCTTGGGGTTGGGTTAGCAGCACGGCTGCCGGAGCCTTGACTTGGGCCTGGGCTCTGCCCATGAGACCAACCTTCCCCTCCAGACCAGCCTCCCTCCCCYGAGCCCCATCCCACAGCATCTGGTTCTGAAAGACTTTTCACACCATGTATTTACCTTCTCGCCTGTAACTAGGCATCTGGACAGTAGCAGCAATGAACGCCCYGACATCAGCTCCATCCAGAGACGCATTAAGGTACCAATCATCAAAATCCTTTCCATCCTTCTGGATCCCAAAGGGCTTAACAACCCAACCCCACTGCTCAGTCCTGAAATGCTTTGCTCTGCCTTTGGGTGGGCACAGCAGGCTTGGCAARGCCACTTTGTCTCAGCTCACTGGTGTCACTGGCTCTTCCGAAAGGCAGCCTGGTCTGGAATAGGATCCCCTTCCACATGCCCACAGCAGCACTGGCTGATGGTGCTCACTGCTGCAGCATGTGGCAGTGGCACACACAGGCTCAGAGGGGCTGTAGCCCCTGTAGCTGGTTCAGCCAGCCCTGGGGTGCCAGCCTGGGGCAGTGCTGGCCCTGAGCCTGCTGCCGCCTTTCTTTCTGTTACTGGGCCTCAGCTGTGCCCTGATGCCACAGGATGCAAGCACAGAAAGCCTTGCTGGAGATCCTTGTAGGTCTCATGTAGCCCCCAGCCCTCAGGACATTCTGCCTCAGTGTTGTTGTGGCTCTGAGGTGCTGCCTGCCYGGCCCAGGGTCTAACCTGCCCTTTCCTCACAGAAAGTGACCCATGATATGGATATGTGCTATGGGATGATGGGGAGCCTCTTCCGCAGCGGCTCTCGGCAGACGCTGTTTGCCAGCCAGGTGATGCGCTACGCTGACCTCTATGCAGCCTCCTTCATCAACCTCCTCTACTACCCCTTCAGCTACCTCTTCAGAGCCGCCCAYGTCCTGGTGAGTTGCAATCCTAGGGAGGTGGGCAGGGGTCCCAGAGGTGTCCGTGCTTATGTCCATTATTACTTCCATAGGGCACAGCAGTACCTTGGAGGGTAGGGTGGCATTTGATAGACCATAGACCAAATGGTCACGTTCTGGGGTTTGCTCTCCATGWGTCTCAGGAAGGCACCCTGGGACTGGGACACCCCTTATCACCTCCTCTCTCTGTTCCACATGCAGATGCCACATGAGTCCACAGTGGAGCACACGCATGTCGACATCAATGAGAAGGAGTCGCCGATGGCCACACGCAATCGCACCTCAGTGGATTTCAAAGATTCYGACTACAAGCGGCACCAACTAACCCGTTCCATCAGTGAGATCAAACCGCCCAACCTTTTCCCCCAGGCACCTCAGGAAATCACACATTGCCAYGATGAAGATGATGATGAGGAAGAGGAAGAGGAGGAAGAAGAGGAGGAAGAGGAATAAGAAGGAAAAAATGAAGTTTTTCTGAAGATAAACCATGACTCTAGCAGTGATCAGGAATGGATTCTGTTGTGGGGCCCTTGGGGTGATGGGTTGGGGGTGTGATTCTTGCAAAGGCATATTTTGAAAGTATTTGGAAACTTCTAACAAATTAACACTAATTAGGAGGAGGCCCTTGTTTTCAGTCGGAGGAGACCCTTGTTTTCAGTTTTGCAGACGGTTCAAAAGCTAATGGATTCTGCCTGGGTGGTGCATTCAGATTGRACTGCCCGCCCGTGCTCTCATGCTTCTCCCATTAGATTTCGGGATGCTGCATGTTTCTCCCTCTCCCATGATGTGTTTCATTTGGTTTTCATTTGAACAGTGTCCTGTGAACGGTTTTTAGCATTTGTTACATTCTCTGTGGAGACAGAAGGGATGTGCTGGGCCCTGCAGGAGACAAAATTATCCAAATCCTGCTGCCCGTTGGGTTGCTGCCCTTAACCCTCTGCTCCTGSGTTACATACTCCCACCTCCCCTGTTAGCCATGGTGGTGTTGTGCCTTCCAGCACCGGGTTTACCTTCTGTTGATGTGAGTTTCCCTGTGCAAGTGGTTTGACTTCTTCAGCCATCATGGATGGCAGTGAGATTCCAGCTCTTGCACATCTGCTGCCATACACGTTTCACCTTGTAGCTGCTTGTTACCCTCTCCCAATGTCTCCAAGCTCTCTTTCACCATCAGCATGTGATGCATGATTTCCAGGGCATTTCTCAAACAGCTGAGCTGYGCGCTGTGTTCTCAACTCCTCCAGTTTCAGCAGTAAATATTAATCCAGGAGCTTGAAGCTGCYGCTTTAGCATTACATTAGTCGCTCTGTGTTCCTCCTGACCTTTCTGTCCTCTCAACTTCAAGTGAAGCATCCCAAAACCAACCCCAGCCACCATCTGGAGTGAAAGGGCCTGTTGTGCCAGGGTGCTGCGGGCCACATGGGCCCGCCCYAAACTAGGAAACAGCACATGCCACCGAACCAGCCCCATGGTGGGAGCTGAGAAGCTCCCGGCCGTCCGGCAGCTGCCCTGGTCTTTGGCCTGGTGCGGAGCAAGTGGAGCCTCATCGCAGGTCGTGGTGGGCAAGGCTGCGTCCCTGGCCAAGGAGGGTGATGGCTGCCGTGTGGGGACCGGGGCTGTCCCCAGGGATGGGCAGGTAGTCCTTGTGCCTGAAAGCCAGCCCAGGGAAGGCATGGAGCTGACACACAGCTGGGCAGCAGTGCCCTGTGGTTTTCTCTGAGTCATGGGTGCAGCCTCCCTYACTCCAGCCTCTGCCGTTCGCTGCAAAGGGATTACAACGAGGGCCCTCTTGTAATGAATTTGACTGTTGTTTCAGTACCATAAACTCATTTAATTTCTTYTTTTCATTTTAAAGTACCTTAGTAGAAATTAAAAGAAGAAAAACCACACCACCAACATCTGAGCAGGAAAATGCTGCTCTAGTGGCAGTTGTTCTAAGTCAAATAAATGATGTTTCTAAAAAATGCGTGGTGCTTTGTGGCGTGTTGCTGAGACGATGAGGGCTGTGCTGGAGTTGGTGAGAAGAGATGGGACTGGTCTGTGGGGTCCCAGCACAATGGGTGACTGCAGAAGAGTGAAAGCATCTTTGGGAATTGGTCATGTGAAGCACTGAGGAGCAGTGACAGTGCAGCTTCCTGTAAGGGCACGCTAAATCCTCACATTGCCCCAGGAAGCAATGGTGGGGTACAAGGCTTCTGTTATCACCATCTGCATCAGCCAGGAAAGCATGGGGAGGGCAGAGAAACATTTTGGCTTGGATGTAGTGAATGAGGGGCTTTTCCATGGTGGGAAGGGCAACATCCCCACACTACTGCTACCTCCAACAATGTGTCTTGCCAGGGCTATTCCTCACAGACATTACCAAGGACCACTTCCTGCCCCTCCGCCCCTGCATGACTCAGGCCCAGCGTGGCACCAGGGCACAGCATAGCCTGTGCTCACCAGGAGCTGCAAACCTGCTTAAAGAGACACCAGGGAAGGCCAGTGCTGCCACACAGCCACACAAGGCTAAGACAGGCAGACCTAGGCACTGCTGAGTTCAACCCTCCCCTACAAACAAATTTGTTGTATCAACCAAACCAGACGGGAGGAGGTTCCCCCATCAGCASCACCAGAGAAAGATGTTCATTATAAGGGCCCAAAGTGCCAGACAAAAAAGCAACACTCARTGGCAACAGCTGGTGGCCAACACTCAACACCTGACACTTCAGGGATTGCTGAAAACTCCAGAGCACTGGGTCCCTGACACCTCAGTTTTGGGGTCTGGAGAGAAGCTAACATGGCCACAGTGAGGTTGGCTGCAGGAAGGATTCCTGGGAGCAGTTCCCRAGCCCTTTCACGGAAGGCCATGCTGGGCTCTGCTATGTTTAAACTTTGTTTCTCCAAGTATAGCCMCTTAAATTTTTTAAGCTTTAGCTCAGCAGCTGGGGAGGCATGTGGCTGCAGGAAGGGAGGTCTGGGGAGCTCCGTRCATTCCTCCTTCCCAACCGGTCACCACAAATAGCTCACTCCCAGCCCAGGGCTATTTCTGACTGAGATGGGGAGGAGAGGCTTCAAGGCTGGAGCAATGGAAAGTATTTGACCCTCGCTTCATGGTGGGAAAACGTCTGGCAAAGCCTGACAGACCCAGGCACTTCCCGGCCTTGCACCATCCTGTCCATCCTGCACTTGCTCCACCACGAAGTTATGGTGACCCACGGACCAAGAGCCAGGGTAAACTTCTCGCCCTGGCTGGCACAGCCCAAGTTTCCAGCCCACACTGCCCTCGGGCAGCTGCCCAAGGCCAGTCTGGACCTGCTGCCACTTCCCAGAAGCCAGGGCCSAGCGGTACCTGTGACTCCAATCGCTCTGCAGAGCCTCAGGAAAAGCTYCCCCTGCTCTCCCTGCAACCTGTTCTCCAGCCAAGGGACAGACACACTTTGCTTTTGCCCACTAGCGGTGTTCTCCCTTGCAGCAAAAGCCTGGTGGAAGCAAGGTGAGCACAGGGGGAGCAAATCTCACGCCTGCCCTGCTCTTTCACTGACCCATTTCCTGGTGACTCCCCCTTTCCTCACCTCACATCCACCTCCCCTGTTCCATAGAGCCAGAGCGGGCTCACAGGGGCTGCACCAACCAACCCCTGCCGGGGACAGGAGCCTGAGGCTCGCTGCCCTCAGTCACAGCCCTGCAGCCATCGTGTGATGAGCACTGCTGCTTTTGACCAGGTCACAGTTATCAGAACAGCTCCTCTTCCTTCATGCCACCGAGCAAGGCCCAGCTGCACCTCACGATCAGGATAGGCCCGACCATGGTGAAGGGTGCAAATCCCTGTGCCAGTCCCTGAGCAGCAGCCATTCCACCCTTGGGCCTGAAGCCCTGGCACAGCAAACACGGATAAATTCTGCAACTGCAGCCACCAGCTCACCCTGGCCCTGCACAAGGGTGCTTTCTCTCCAGGAGACAAGCCCTGGGGGCCACTGAGCTGTAGAGCCTGGCCATGGCGGGAGGTGCTGCTGGAGCCTTGAGGACATAGAGCCACAGTTTTGGGCAGTGTTCCCGTCTTGCTGCCATAGCATGGTCTGGACCTGAGCAGCCAACACCCATCCCACCTCCCTGAAGGGATCTGSCCTCTTACACCCTCCTTTTCAGAATCCTGAGCTCTCTCACCTCATTCCTCCTTCCTGCTGCTCATTACCACCAGAGCCAGCGCTGAAGTTGGCCTCCACATTAAATCTACTTAGGTCGTGCTTGCAGTATCCYACCACCCTCCACTGGCTGCCAGGGACAGACACATACAGGGGAGTAGGAGTCCTCAAGGACATGCCACTCTCTCTGTCCTGCTGATACGACATTGGGGAGTGAGGTTCAGAGGAATGGGGGCATCCTGCAGCACAGAAGCAGGGACTGAAGCTGCACTGGGTGCAGCAAAAATCCCCCACAAGATTTGAGCAGTTGCTGCCCAACTTACTAACCCATGCAGGGAAAGCAGCTGGGTGACAGCCGCAAGGAGAGGAGCTGAGGGATGGCAAAAACATGATTGGGGTGCGTGACAGGGCAGTATCTAACACAGGAAAGGGGCTGTTCCTCCACCAGTGATGGTGGGCAAGGGACTAAGCACAGGCTCACTGTCCTGCTCAGAAATGTCTGTCACTGCAGGCTCCACACAGCTCCACTGCCAAAGTCCCAACATGAGGGGAGTAGGCAGCAGCACCCAAGTGCAGGCAGATGGACCGACTCACTCCATCAGCTGCTGCTGTCCCACGGAGTCGCCGTGGTCCCCAGCCATGTCCCTCACTGGTGACCCCCAGTCACGCCCCGCCTGGCAGGAACACGCACTACAGACAGACGGCATCTACACTTAAGAGACAAACATGACCTATGGAGAGCAGGTTGTCAATAAGGGTTTTTTATTACTGAAAGAAAAAGACCCTCACCCTTAAAAGAACTTCAAAAGGTCAGCTTCTTGCTGTTGCCACCAGCTTCCCAGCCAGCCCCTGGTGAGCAAAACCACCGGCACAGCCCTCCCCAGCTTGAGGACTTACAGGCCCAGACCCACCAAAGCAAAGAGCAGCACCTGGCTCTAGAGGAACAAGATCCGGCCTCTCTGTGGCTCTTGGCAGCTGAAGTGGAGATTAAAGACTGTTGATGTGCCAGTAAYAGAGATCTGAGTCCAGGATCACAGACATCAGCCCCACCACCCGCATGCCAAAATCCATCCCTTGGAAATGAGGGGGGAGCATGGAAGAGGGAAAAATGCATAAACTGGAATGTTCAACAGAAAAAAAAAATCATCATTTATCTAAAAAGAATAGAAATAAACAAAATGCTTTAAAACAAAATCACAAAATATACAAATAAATCTGGTACAAAATAAATAGGAAAGATTGGAAATCTACAACAAAATTGGAATAATTATAAAATTAATTTGTATGACAATCAGTATATGAAACGTATACACTTCATTCAGGATTTCAGTTGTGCTTATTCAGGTTTATGTACACACACGGAAATACTGTAGTCAGAATACTACAACTCTGGAAACCCGAAGTCATGTACAATATGATACAATTCGCAAAGACCATGTACGATGGCAAGATAAGACATAGGGAAGAGCCAGCTGGAGTGGGATCAGACAGCCATGGAAACACTGTGAAGGGAGAGTGGCCACACTCCAGAAGAGGGGGACCAAGGCCGAGCATGCAGCAGCCAGGACACAGCTCGGGGCAGCCAGGAAGGAGAAAGGTTTGGTGTGAGACCCCCGGCTGCAGAGCACCAGCTGCTCATGGCTTCTAGGAATATCTCAAGTATTTGGGGTTTCAGATTCACTGTGTTTGACATCCAGGCACCTGCCTG